GTTGCAGCGCTTCCAGCACCGGCACATCCAGCAAAGAATCCGTGCTGTCCTGCGCAGCGGGGGGCACGCGCGGTCCAGCCTTACGCCGGCACACCGAGCATCGCCATGAACTCTGTAATGATATAGAAAACTTTACAGTTTCGAGAACTTGGTTTTTTGAGTGTAACTTTGTATGTATATAGAAAGTTAGTTATTACCGCCTCGTCATCGCTGGCTGGCTTGGAGTAGGAGGAACAATCCTCGCAGACTCGGTGCTGGCAGCCATTGCACGTGTGGAAAACCTCGCCCGGTTTCAGCGCCTTTAGGCACACGCGGCAAGCGCCTGCGCGTGATGGCGATTTGCCCGCCTCTCTGTAGTACACCACCAATTGAACAATACGCTGGTATTACTATTTATCGTGTCACATATGTTTTTAGTTCAACCCTTGTATTAATTACCTACTTTCTTTTCATACCGTATGTCCAAAATAAAAGCATTATGCAAAAAATCATTTATCTTAATACTGACCGTTCTGTTTTGGTTTGTTGTGGAGGGGGAGGCTGCGCAGGCGGGGCAGCCGGAGGCGGCTCTGCTTCTACTACCACCGGCCTCGGGCCTAGCTTGGTTACTGGAAATTAATGTAACTTTATTCTTCCCAATTCATCCGTTATCGCTTTTCCATTTAATTCACCAATACACATAATGTCAAACTACTATTATCTCAAGTCAAGCGTACGTTTATGACCTATGATCTTAGACAATTTTTATTTGAATATCTACTGTGCTTCTATTCAACGAACAATATAATCCTATCTTCATAAAGTATTTTAACATAATTTTCTAATATCACTAAAATACAATCAATAAATACACAATTCACGTTTGAATACAACAAGAAAACATTTACGGAATTACCGAAGTATAAAAGGTTTGCGGTTGGGGTAGAACAGCGTGTCATTGAATAAATAAATACGGTATCCTCCCTGAATGGACCGCTTGGCTATTCCTTTTTAAAAGAGAATTGTAGTAGATCATTGTATTTATTCTTACTGAATTTATTACATATCAATTACGCTCGAAAGTTTTTTTGGTGAGTCCGCTGCAGACGCTCAGTTCTGACAGTTCTAACTGTTCAGTTAAAAGTGCCTATATAGGCTAAAATTTTAACTAAACTGAACTGTTCAGTTATAAGGTTTTGCCTTAATACCCTGAGTTTTAACGGGACAGTTAAACTCTTCACTTAAAACTATCAGAACTGAGCGTCTGTAGCAGACTTTACAATTTTCGTTTTATCGAGGACAAACTTAAGTATTTTGGAGATACGCCATAGGCTTAGATAAATGTTTGCTGAGAAAGTTTCCATTTTGTGAGGAAAGTGGAAATACTTTTGATGTTAAATTCGATAACTTGATTTTTAATTTGTCGTCGGCGTTGGGGAATTAGATTACAGCTGGCCCGGGTTGAGATCGTTTGTTTCACTAAAGAGTTTATTCATCAAATTTTACACTTTGGGTTTGAAATTTACAGGACTAGTTTTCTACTAAATTTTCATTTATAATATTATCTCTTATAGTGTTACTTCCCATTGCTCTGATTTAGGAAATAATATGGTGGTTTCCTCACTTGCCTTCCTCACCGCAACAAATCAGAATCCTTATTCGGCCTCAATCCAGTATTGAAAACATTGCTGCTCAACTTATAATTTTAATTTAAACTAGCGTCTCGCAAACATTTTGCTTGATTAAGTGACCATAGTTTTTACTGTGCCAGTCTTCTTAAATATTTGCATATTCACTGTCGTTCTGTAGTGTTTTGTTAGTTAAGTAAGATTAGACAGTGCGGTGGTTAGTTTAAAAAAAGATAAATTGAGTTCAATTAATTTAGGGAAGTCCACTTCAATTTGCGGAACGTCTTTATTCTATATATGGATCATAATAATACGGAGGGCGGACAAAAACGCGCGGTATTTGATAGCAGCTAAGTGGAGCTCGGAGCGGAATTTACGAGCATTTCTCAATATTCATAGCGAAATTTTGCGAGATACGCGATCCCACGGGACGCGCTGACTGTACTCCACGCCTTATGGATTCCTTCTCCAACAAATAGAACGTAGAGAGCATCTCGTCAAATATCTCTTAAATTGAATATTTATTTACAACGTGAACAAACTTTTTATTATTTATAACATAAGCTACGTTTTATTTTAAACTATGTTCAAGTGAAGTAGGATTATCATACCTTATTGTTTGTAACATAGAGAAAGTTTTTGAAACTCAATATAAATGTATTCTAATAGATAGAATAATAAAATAACCTTCGTCCGTATTGCGAAAGAGGACGCAAAAAATGATTATGGCAAAATGTAACAAAAACCGTTTAGATCTTTTGCAACATTTTAAATTTTTCTATGGCTTCCTGTCTGCTTACCTTTTTACAGACTCACTTTATCGTTGTTCCCATATTTGGATTATTAATCAATAAAAAAAACAGAGTTCGTCAGTTACAAAATTTAGAATACTTAACACCAGAGAATACATACTTTACATCAGTATAATAACAAGTAAAAGCTATGTAGTTAATTCACGAATGTAGGCTGGAATTATCACCGAGATGAAATATGGATATAGCTAGGCTGTGAGGTTGCGGACGGTATCCGGCGTGGCGGTGTCGGGCGGCGCGTATTGATTTTGTGCCGGGAGCCATCTAGGAATGCTCAAGAGCATTTTGGCATCTTCATTATCTACAGCCAAATAGTTGAAAGGTAGTTAGTTATGTTATATACCTGGTTGTATAATTCAATGCTTTATTATGTAATACGCTCAGGTATGTGTTTAATTTTACAATACTTGTTCTTACTTTTTCAGTTTATTTAAAGTTTTCATTTATAATCATTAAATTCAGGTGTTCGTTTTGTTTATTAACATTTCTGTGAAGTAATAGTAAAAATAGATGCGATAATTATTCCCTTTACATTTTACGTGGAATTTAAAAAATCAAAAGCGAGGAGCCTATGTGTTCTTCCAGACTATCCTCTACATATAAAGCAAATTTCATCGAAATCCGTTCAGCCGTTTAGGCTACAAACACTAACAAACATCCATCTATTCATCTAAACTTTCGCATTTATAATATTAGTATCATTGGTTTTTCTCATGTTATTCTCAAATTCGTTCATAACTAAACAATGAATCTAATAAGCTTCTAACTTTCGTCACGTCAAACATAATAATAGGTTTGTTGGAAACAACAGAAAATCAAATACAATCAAACAGCATTACAACTATAAATGGGCTTTGAAGGGATTAATTATTAGCTCTATCAAAGTTGTAATTGGGACGTCAAGTTTCAATTCGACTAAAGCTTCCGTCGACAGAAAATTGATAGATCTTGCAACGAAAGCACACAATGGATTACAATACGAGACCGGCAAGGCTGTCATTATGTTGCTAACAACTTCAAATATCATGTTTAGTTTTTATATTTGCAAATTGTAATTTTATTAAGTAACTACACAATAATATATCGTACTAATATAATAGATGCAAAAGTTTATATCGACGGATGGATGAATGGATGGATTTTTGTTAGAGTTTTCAGCTTAAACGGCTGAACGGATCTCGATGTCTGGAAGAACACATAGGTTACCTAATTTCTTTTTTTTTTTTAATTCTACGCGAACGCAGTCGCGGGCCAATGCTAGTAATTACATAAGATTAAAAACTCTACCAATGGAAATTAAGATTGAAATCGATATGTATCTTCAACTAGGATTTTTTTTTACAATTTAGTTGGTTTTGTACAAAATATATAAGTTACCTAAATCATGCAGACATTAACTAAGAAGAAGGGCCTCTGTATAAATCAACATTTCCTGCATATGGTGAAATTATTGCCTTCCTAACTTTGTAGCAAATTGCGTAGATAACTTGGTGGGAAACTCGGCGGTAACATTTTAACTTTGACGTTAATAGCTTGTTAAAACATGTACATATCAAGATGAGAATTGAGTTCAGTTGCGGTCTTCAAACTTACGAGCATAGTTATATGTAAGGTAAGTAGGTAAATAAGTATTTACTTTAGTATTTAGTTTATTAATACTAAGTATTTTGTTGCGATTCTTGTAAGAATGATAAGTTCAGATGTTTCGTCCGCAATGACTTAGTTTTACATTAACTGTAGCTGTTCCCATGCGTCTTCGTTCGTCCATGGTTTACGTTTGTCAAACGTCAGAATTCAAATGCAAAAATGACAACCTTCCTTAATGTCGGTAACTCGTAGTTTATGGTCCCTTTCCGAAATGAAAGTTTTTTTCCCAAACTATTTATCCCCCAAGTTTTAAAGTCTGAAAATATATGGTATAGCCTAAAGCCTGTCGTAAGTGTAGGGCTTTTTGTTAAATAAAGAATTATGTTAAAATATTTCGTGATTGTTGGAATCCTACGCCACAACGTAGTGTGTGTTTAGGCTTTATTATATTAGTATAGACTAGCTTTCGCCCGCGATTCTACCCTGTGGAAATAAAAAAAAAACAAAAATATGTGTATATATGTGTTCTTCCAGACTATCCTCTACATCGATGCCAAATTCCATCAAGATCCGTTCAGCAGTTTAGCTACAAACTCTAACAAACATCCAACCATTTAAACTTCGCATTTATAATATTAGTAAGAAGTAAGATTCTAATATTTGATACTTGCCTTTGTCTTGTGCTGTGAGTAGTGATGACGACAGCGTCTGCCTCAGTTTGCCGAATGTACCGGACGTCTCAATCTGACCAACTGTGTTTGTGTCCTCCGTCGCAACCATCTGAAACAAGTAGATGCAAATTTTAAACAATTCTCATTATTTATAAAAAGGTTAATCCAACTAAAGGATTATTTAAGGTGTGGCTTAAATAAATAATTCGTTCACTCTATGTTGGCCAAAGTCTCCGAGGGCGTATTTTTAAAGCAATTCGATCGATGGCTCACAAACGGTTACGCCTTCAAAGGGGAAAATTAAAAATGTTTTTCTTTTCCTCGAAGCCTTGCAACATCGCGCCAACTTTTATTAAACTGCCAATATGTTTGAAACGCTAAAAGAAATCAATCGATTCTAAAAATGAATTAATTTTACAGTTTTAAATGTGATTTATAACGTTTTAATTTATTCTAAAAACTATACACAATATTTCGAATGTCATACAATTGAGTGATTACAAGCTTTAAGCTAAAATATATTGCAAGCAATATTAGATGAAAGTCCCCGAGGATGTGGACTTAGAACGTACCGCGGGCAATATTGACTTGCCTAAGATGGCTTAGTCGTGCACCAACTTATGTTGTATTTAGTACAGTAATAAGATGTAACTGTTGACTGTGAAGTATAATTACTGCAACTACTTACTTCTAAGGGTATTTATTATATTTTATATCATTGTTCCGACTGAATACGACTAGTCTTAAGTTTTTTTTAATAAAAACGTTAACGATAAATATTTCATTTATACTTTTTGTTTGCTTCTGCTGAGATTAGTCTTTTGTTTTCCAAAATAACAACAATAGCAATTTAAATATAACTTTATATACCATATACAGATATCAAATAACAAAAAAATTCTCAAAAAAACCGTGTTCGCGGCGAGTGACATCGTGTAGTGATAAAACTCTTCATACAAAAGTAACGACCCAGTAATGGTGTCGTAAATTTTATGGAACGCAACAGATGGGGAATGAAAGCTCTTGGAGACAGGAAAATCAATAATGTCGTCTCCCGAACTTCAGTGAGCTTTTTATATCTCCGCTCCTGGCGAGGTGGCTCGAGACTTGCTCAGCAATAAGCAGCCGATGCTGATGATACTGCAAAATGTCAAATCATAATGCTGTACACGAATGAGATATCGGTTTTTGGATTAAATGTTTTTCGTCCCTTTTTTGTTCCATTTTTAGAACCAACTATTTTCCGCACTAGACAATTAGATCATTGATACATGTTTTAGGCATTCAAAAACTAGGTATTTATAATGTTAAAATTTATAACACTATATATTGGAAGGAAGAAAAAAATATATGATTTTCGGTGGAAGGAACTAGCTAAGGTTCAATAAAGCTAACTCATAACGGACGTAGTAAAACGGAATCACTACCTGTGATCCGAGAAAGTAAAAGCGGTAGCAAAGTACACGCTAGCCGTGGAGTTGTGGGAATCAATCATTTATGTCCCTATCGTCCCATTTAAAGAGAGATTTTATTGTCATAATAGTTTCAAAAATAAAAAATGTTGCCGGCAATAATCTCAGCTCATCTGGTTTTGTTGGCGAAAATGTTCGTTGTTATTATGATAAATATTTACACTGCAAATTATCCTTCCCATAAGATTAAATTTCACAAAATTCAAAACAAGTAAGAACACAACATCATAGTCCATCGGGATTGTATGCGGTCATACCACAATTCCTCAAGAGTTGCTACAAACCCGGCGTTATTGAATTTTGCAAACAAAGCAACCATACCAAAGTCACGCTAGCTTTCGCTTGGGGTTTAAAGTCTGATAGAGTTTATAGTTTTAATTGTATCACAGCTCTCTACGTGGCTTGATAAAAGTGTTTGTGATCGGAACGCTTTGGACTAAATACAAGATGTTATGATTTTTTTTAGGATTTCTCTTTGTTGGTTGACACTAATTGGATTATTAATTGTAAATACTATAATTTTTTGCGATTATTTAAATGTAAACAAGGTTTGGGCGTACCGATTTATATCACGATAAAGTAGGTCATGAACATTCGCACTCACCCCCAGCGTATGCGGCGGCGGAGTGCGAGGGGTGCGTGCGGGGTGCGGTGGCCCCGGTGACCCACTTGTTGCCGGTCTGCTATTTACATTACGACTTTAATTGCCGTGACCAACAAAAGGTGCACGGCCTCTATTTTAGTTTGTCAAGAAATTGCTTCTCACAATATTACACTATGTCTGTAATTGTTTTTAGGCATTTTAATTTATGTATACATCTATGGTAGTTAGACACAAAGAGCATTTACGCACAGGTCTACGAGATTTACAGTTACAAGTTTTACGTCTACGAGGTACGTCTACGAGTTACACCTCTTCCTTGAGTTAGCTCCACTTTTAGATTGTACATAAATCTTTATCAATTCAATTAAGAACAAACTCTGTTTTTGCCGACTTGATGTTAATAAATATTTTAAAAATGTAGAAAGGGTTTTTAAATAAAGAATAGTAATAACTATTTACGAATAACATTTATTTTTATTGATTTAGGGTCAACTTGAAATATATGCAGAGAGAGGAATAAAAAGAAAGGATAAAATCCAAGTGCGATCTCGAGTGATTTAGATTTATTTGATGGTGCTTCCAGCCGAGCGCGTCCGTTGCCTTAATGTGATTTCTGAACGGTTACTTCCAGATGAGAGAGCCTAGGAAACAGTAAATCACTAAACTTACTTTACCTTACAACTGTTTGTTTCACGTTTATCGCTAGATTGAGGTTTATTGCGTTTATTTGTTCCCTTGAAAAAACTATCCTAATAGCATTTACCCTAATTACTTGTGATGTATATCACACAAATTATTGTATTCACTTAATTCTGTATATTTTTTCTATTCCTTTACGGGACAACCACACTATCAATATCGCAAAATTGAAACGATGGATTAAAGTTCATTATACCTTTCAGTATTATAGTATATGAATATACTAAGGGGCTGTCCCACCAAATTGTATATTACCTGATAACAATCCAACGTCTAAAATGTCTGATGGAAATATCGGATTTTGTTGCCTGACAGTTACGTCATTTTTAAGCTATATAAGCCTCTATCAGCCAGTAATGGGACAGGCCCTTAGTATTATTAATATGCTAACATGTATGTTATAATAAAACAATACAACGAATATGCTGATGATTGTAGTTCAAGTCACGTGGGATTATCAGTGTGTTAATTAATATATTCTGATACATCTGACATTCAAAGCGAATTGATGTACAATGTAAAGCCGTTATTGTTCGGTGACGGACATAACTGAGTAAAGCGCAATCGGGGGCCGTTTGTCGTTGCGTAATTACGTCCCTTTGTGACCACGCCGCAGCCTCACAAGCCCCAGACACAGCCACGGATAAATCTGCCTAAAGTAACGTTAACTGTAACATATATAGTTGTTTAAAGGCCCATATGAGACGATTCAGTTTAGAATTCGTATGAGAGCTATCTTCGATGATGATTTGTAAGCGTTTATAGCTTTTGAGTTGTTTTATTACTAACTTTTAAATCCTTCAGTTGTGATAAATTTTTGATTGGTGTTCAATTAAATATTGTATTAATGTATGAATAAGTGAAAACATCGTCGACTGATAATAAAAACCTTTTAACGTCGACATTCAAAAATGCCATTACATCCACTATTAAAAACGAGTTTACGTTATTCTTTATGGAAACATTAAACTCTCGTAAATTACTTGTAGTTTTAATGGACTGTAACATCCTAATAACGCAATACAAACTAATTTTTAGGATTCATATTCTTTGTGTTCTTTTTCGAAATAAGTATCAACATAAAAAAATTGACTAATTAACGAGAAGTAAGGCCACCAGTAGACGCAGCGTCACAAAATGCAGAATCCTCTTTGATATGGCAGGCAGTTTCGAAAAAATGCTATCCAAAAAAATGGTAAAGCGACCTCAGTCGGTCATATCTAAATGTCCAGAAAGTATAAACTAAAACATTTCCTAATCATATCTTCCTTAATAGTATCTTGACCAAAAATTTAACATTTGTAATTAAACGTTTTATTTAGTTACAGTCGTAACGCGACACAGTTTGATTTGATGTGACGTCAGAGGCGGTCAAAGTGGGACCTCGATCGAAAGCTCTATTTTAGGCACGTATTTTCCGTCAATTGCTTTTGAGCTTTATCCTTCCCGTCGGTGAGAGAATTCTTGTCCGAAATATAATAAGTACTTAAGTTGTTCTGTATTTCGAGTGCCGGTGTTTATAAGAGATAATTCCTGTACAAAGTAAATTACTTTTAGAACTTTTAATTTGTTACAAGAGTTTAGGAAAGCGATTGATGATTCGTGCTTCTTAGATTATATCCTCAGTTTTGTTTTTCTTATTCTGATGTACCCTTGATTTAAAGTTTGAGTAAATAAACAGCAAGCTGATTAAGAATACTAAGTAATCATTCGGATAAATTCATTATACAAAATCTGAATTTATGTGTAAGCCCTCGAGAGCTACCGATAAAATGGTTATCAAAATTTGAGCATAAGTTGCTAAGATATTTAAAAAAAGATTAAAGTGATGTGTCGCTAATGGAACTATTTGCACGAGTTGATAGAAGTTTAGGCTCAACATTTAAACTAAGTGAGCACTGCGCTAGAGTTACTGGGCTTGTTGCACGTACTCGTACGATTTCATCGTCCAACTTTTAATAGGACGGCACTTAGCATGTTGGACGCTGTGTGTGAGAAATGTCCTATGATGTGGACAGAATCACGCTACTATATTAAGTATGCTTGTGTCGTGATGTCGTGTGTTTGTAATAAAAATGTGTCATAAAAAGTACTTTCATACAACAGCAACACAATTAACTGTAAATAATAAGCAGTGTTTACTGTCGATGTTGACGCAGCTGCGTAGTTTTGCTTGTCAACAAAATATATGCAGCGACCACAACGAATTAACTGAATTTTACTCTATCCACGCATAACCTAAAAGTTAATTGCAGAGCATAAATTACTTATTAAAGGCTAGGTTTAGCCTGCGATGCCGTCCGTGTGGAATTAATAAAAAAAAAAACAAAAGTA